GTCCCGCTCCATGGACCCTGCAGGCCTTGCATGTTGACACAGGGGTGGCATCACCGTCGGCCCATGGGGCGCCGCCGGGTCTCTGTGTGTCTCTCCCACTCGGGGGGCCCCAGCCCCACAGGGCGTGACCTGAAAGCCACCTGAGTAAACCCAAGGGGCCCTGGCTTCCCCGGGGCCCCACGCCCTGCACGTCTCTCCAGAGAGGCAGGGAGGGGCGAGGCCTGGGGGCCGCCCTGTCCCCCAGCGCCCCTTAACGCTGCGGGCCATGCCCCTGTCTTCTCTCGCCCCCCTCCCGCACTCACGGCCCCCCCAAGGCCGCAGCCCCGGCCGCCTCCCGGGAGCGTCTGCGGCCCCCTCCTGGTCCTGCTCCCCACTCCGCGCCCCCAGCCCAGCCCGGCCCAGGCAGCGCCGAGCCCCAGAGCTGGCCTCCGGGCCTCCGTTCCAGCCACCCCGCCCCCTCTCCCTCCTGCTGCTCCCTGCTCAGGCCCCAGCCCAGGGAATGGTCTTCCCGCCATCCTGCCTCCCTCCTCCCACCCTCCGGGCCGCATACCAGACCCACAGGCTCCAAGCGCTGCTGCAGCTCGTCACCCCCACCCTTCCCAGCCCTGGGGGGGCCCTCCTCCCGCCCTGCGTGCAAAGAGAGCCGGTGTCCGGCTCCGTCCTAGCCCACCACACCCTCCTCCTCTGGCTCCAGCCCCCCGGGCTCCCACCGAGCCTAACCCCGGGCTCTTGTGTTCCAGGCAGTGGGAACCCAGGCCCTGCACCCCCACGGCCCCGAGGGCCTGCGCGCCCCCCGCCCCCCACAACCCCCGCCGGAGCCCGTGCACAGAGCTGCCTCCCTGCCCGGCAGGGCGAAGGCGCCGGGGGGCACGTGGAGCGGGTGGGGGCTTTGGGGAGAAGTGGGAACAGGGGGCCCCTGCGCTTGGCGCCCATGTTTGTTTGCTGGTCCGGCCCCAGGCCCCGGCCGCTCCCTGCGGACCTGGGCTCCCGCCTGCGTCCGGCCAGGTGTGCCGTGATGGAGCGCGGGCGCCTGGAGGACAAGGAGCTCAGTGTCTGCTTTCTGCGAGCACGGCGCTGACACGGAGCAGAATATCCAGTGACCGCTTCCAGGAAGCGGCGTGGGGCGGGCGGGGGCGCGGGCGAGGCCCCTTCCCAGCAAGCCGGCCTGCAGGTGGGCTTCCAGGAAGGGGCCCTGCTGGGTCCCCCGCCTCTGGGAAGGGGCCGACCGACCGTGTCACCAGGTGCAGGCTGGGGAGAGGGCCGGAGAAGGGAGGGAAGGAGAGGGGCAGGGAGGAGGAGAGCGGGGTGGCCGGCGTGGGCAGTGGGGCCCAGGGACGCCGGAGCCCGGCCTGCTCCTCCCAGAAGCTCTTGTCCCCGCTCAGGGCCACGAGGCTCTGGGGGACCCTTGGCTGCCTGGGCTCGCCCGGTGCGACGCTCGCGTGGATGCTGCGCACGAGCGGAGGCGAGGGCACCAGGCGAAGACCTGCCTGAGCCCGGTAGGCCTGGAGCCGGTGGCCGTGGCTCCTGGCTCGTGTTGGCGGGGACCTTGCAGCCCCGCCTGGGCTCTCTGCGCCCTCCGCTTTGGGTGCAGCCGCCACCCCCAGCTCTGGGGGGGCGGGGGCTGTGGTCTCCCCTGGAGCCCGGAGCCCAGGGTGGGGCGAGGGCCCTCAGGAGCCCCCCAGACCTCCCAGCGTGCGCGGAGCCAGGGCCCGGCCTCTCCGCAGGCCTGTTTCAGGGATTCCATCTCCTTTGTGCTGTGAGCCTTTTCTCTGTCCCCATTCAGCGGTGTAACAAGTGTCCTGGCTCCGCCCCGCCCCCAGCTGTCCCCAATCCCCGCCCGAAAGTGGGCTCCTGGGTCATTAAATCCAGACCGAGACCGAAGCCACATAAAGGCACGAGACACACACAGCCAGAGTCAGATGTCCACCCTCCAGGGGACGCTGGTCCCACACGGGGCCGGGCCACACAAAAGTCAGCAGGCCCCACAGAGTGTTCCCAAGCAGAACAGGACCCACGGCCACGTCTGCAGCACAACAGCACGGCCGTGAAGAGAGGGCCTCCCCAACAGCCACGGCTGCACAGTGGCGCGTGTGCCCAGGCCGGGCGGCGGGACCTCAGGGCTGCACACGGGCCGCGGGCCTGCTGGGGGGCGCACACGCATGGACACACGGGCACGCGGGCATACACGCGGACACACAAGGGCACACACATGGGCACACAGAGACACATGGGGACATGGGGACCCACATGTGGAAAACACATGGACACACACATGGACACACACAGACACGTGAACACAGAGGGGCACACGTGGACACGTGCAGATACACAGAGACACATGTGGACACACAGGATTGCACAGGGGCACATGGACGTGCACGTGTGAACACATGGGTACTCGTGCGAATGCAAGACACATGTGTGGACACACATGGGAGCAGGGTACACAGGGACGTGCGGACATGCGTACGTGTGTACCCATGTGAACACGGCAACATGAACACCCACGGGCACGGGACACATGGACACAGAAAGTCAACTCCTGTTTCCTGTCCTCTGGGGGTACTGGCCTTGCCCTCCCCAGTGGCCGGCCGGCGGGAGGGCCCCGGTGTGAAGGCCTGGCCCTGGCGAGCCGGGAGCTGCGTGGGGGAGGGGCGGCCCGGCCTGGGGCCCGGTCTCCCCCGCCTCAGACATGCCTCCCCCCAGACTTCCCGCCCGCTCGACAGTGGCCGCGGCCCCCCGCCCCCGCCCCGGCTGGGGCTTGGAAGTGAAATTCAAGCCCCTGTTTGCTCCAGGACACTTAACTCAGCTCGGGGGCGTTTTGAAAGTGCCTTTGGGTGGTGAGGGCGCCAGGAGCCAGTCTGACAACCCTCTCTAAGCCCCTTTTCTAAAAAGCAGGAAATCGGGCTGGGCCGAAGGTAAACATTCCACCGCGCGGTCCCCAGCTCCTCGGAGGGCTCCGCGGGGCGGGTGCGCCTGTTTTCCCAGCCCTGGGCGAGGCGCGGGGCGCACGGCCTGTTTGCAGAGCCAGGCCTTGGCCTGTGGCTTCTCGCCCCCGCCCGCCTCCGGCCCCCGCAGGTGGCCCCACGCCTCTGCGGGGCCCCTGCAGGCCCTGGGGTCCTTCCCTCCCGGTTCCGCTGCTTGGAACCAGCCCTGAAAGCTGAAAAACACAGGCGCCCCACCCGCTGCAGACCCTGGCTGGTGCATTCAAAGGGGGCCGATGGCGGGGGCCTGGGGCCTCCGCGTTCTCTCCGGTGGGTGTGGGGAGCGCCCCACCCTCCCGCATTCCAAGCCCCGTGCATGCCTTCTCAGGGCCTCGGGGCCCAGGTGGGGGCCCCGGAGTGTGCGCAGGCGTGCCTTGTGTCCCCGGGGACCAGGAGAGGGCCACGGCTCCCCGCGGAAGCAGCCCTGCTGACTCCAGGACCCTCGGGGGGTGCCCACCCACTCCTGGGGTCCCAATTCCCTGCATTTTCCTGAGGAGGCTTCCAGCCCACCCTCTCCCTGCCCCCCTCCCCTCCACCGTGACCCTCGGCCACTGCCCTTGTCCCACCGCCTGGCTGCCCAGCTTTCATCGCCACAGCCCCGCTTGGCGAAGCTCGAGCAGAGGCGGATGTTTATTAATAAAGGCCGCTTACGGCCCTAACTCTTAACATCTCGTGGACGGTTCCTTTGCCCCCTGCAAAGCCCACTTGGGTGAGTGGGCCCAGCTGGCAGCCCAAGGAGGAGGTGGCCTGGCCCCGGAGCAGGGCCCGGCCCCTGGCACAGCCTGCAGGGCACGGGGAGACCCCGAGGACACACGGGAGACCCCAGGACACCAGCGCCAGATGCCCAAATGCGCGCTGCGGCGACCCCCGCCCGGCTGGCCTGGGACTCCCTCTGTGCAACCCCGCTCGGCCAGGCCAGGGGGACGAGGCCCAGAACGAGGGGGGGCGCGGGAGGGGAGGGACACGGGGCAGCAGCGGGGCTCTGGGAGGGGGCTGGGGCGCGTTCCTCAGGCTTCGCTATCTGGTCTTTATCTGGGGCTGAGGCATTTCCTGGCTCTGAGCACAGGGAGGGGCCGAGGACCCCAGGCTCATTTCCAGCAGCGGCTTCCTCACGTTCCAGCCTCTGCTGGGCCGGGGCCCAGGGCCGGGGGCCGGGGGGCGCAGCGGCGGAGCCCGCGCCCAGCCTGCGGGCCCCCGGCCCCGCCAGCCGACCGCACACTGAGGCGGGCCTAGGGCGCCCGCGGCCAGACCCGCGCCCCCTCCCTCCAGCCCCCGCTCCCGTCCCCCGCCTCCCTCGGCTCTTCACTCGTCGCCACCCCCTTCGCAGGCCTCCGCTCCCCCTTCCTCTCGCCCTGCCCCCTCGCTGCTCGGCTGTCACCTGGCTATTATGGAGGAGCTCGCCCCCACCTCTGAGGCCCCCGCAGCCCCCCTCACTGGAGCTGGGCAGCCCCCTGCACCCCGCCCCCCCGCCCCCCCGCGCTCAGCACAGCGGAGGGTGAACAGGAAGGGGCACCACTGCGTCCCCTGGGGCGGGGGGCTCTCAGGACTGCCTAGCACCGGCCGGGCTGGCGCTGGCGGTGGAGCGGCAGGCGGGGCGGGGGGGCCGCACACCGCCCGCCCCTGCCAGAGTGCCCCCCACCATCAAGCCCACCCCCTAGAACAGGCTCTGGGATCTCTGGCCAGGCACGGGGGGGGGGCCCGGGGGGCCATCCAGGAGGTGGTCTGCGTGGCAGGACGGAGGGGGCCCTCGTGGCGGAGCACACCCTCCCCTTCACCCTCCCCTTCACCACCCCAGCCCCCGCCCCTCCCTGCAGGGACCCCTGGTCCCACAGCCTCACTGAACTTGTCATGTGACTTCCCACGGCCCACCCCGCCCGATGATCTCTTTCCATCCCTCGTGTTCCCTCCCGCCCTCCTCTGTCCCTCATGTGCTTTTCATGGCCCCCACCCCAGCCCCCGCTCCCAAGGCGCCCCCAAGAACAGAGCGGAGACCCAGAATTCTGTAACGGAATTTATTGATGAGTCCAGGACTTCTGGTGAAGCCCTGGTGAGGAGGGACCCAGGCGAGATGCACAATGGATGCTTGGGGTGGCTCCAGGTGTTCGGAGCTTCCAGACTAGGCGAGGGGGGGGCAGGGCCCCACACGCTGCCGCACCCGGTTACCCCCAGTGGACGGGTGGGGGGTCGCGGGGGCGGCACCGGCCATAGGGGGCCGGGCACACTCAGCAGTTGCTCACACACACGCCCAGGGGCTCAGGGCCGGGGCCGGGACCCCAACCAGTGCAAACGACTTATAGTGCAAATTGAATCGGGGGGTGTGGGGACACGGGGTCCCGGGGGCCTGAGCCTGCTGAGCAAAGGACAGAAGAGAAAGGAAAGAAGTGAAAAAGCAGAGAAAAGTCCGAAAAGAAGGAGGGGAGGAGGGAATGCGATGGTGATGGGGGCGCGCTGGCGGCGTCTCGGCGCTGGCTGGGGCGGCTGACGCTGGTGTGGTCGCTCGGGCGGTGTGGCCGTGGGAGCGGCTCGCTTCCGGTGGTGCTGGTCGCCGATCTCGGTCCTTTGGCTTAACCTGTGGAGAGCAACAGGACATGTGGGAGGGGTCGGGGCGGCGGGCGGCGGGCGGCTTCCGGAAGGGGCTCCGGGCTCACCTTCCAGAGCCGATTCCTGAGTCGAGTGGTGTAGTGGTTCCGGGTGCAGCATATTCTTGCGTCAGAGCTAGAAGGACTTGAAGAAGTCCGGGGTCCAAGGCCCAGGCATGAGCTGGGTAGCACCATTTCTAGGGGCGGGGGGCGGGCGGGGGGGGACAGCGTGAGCGTCGGCCCTGGCCGGCGCCCCCGCCCCCGCCCCGTGCCCCTCAGGAGGGGCATCTCACCTTGTCATGTCGAGGGTTCTAGAGGTCCAGAGAGCAGCGGTTATGTCGGCTCCTTCCGGAAAGCGGAGGGACAGAGACCTGGCGGGCGCTCTGCTCCCACGGGTCCAGCCGAGATGTCCTGTGGGAGAAAAGACAGGTCAGGAGGGAGGTGTCCGTGCCCAGCGGGCTGGCCTGGGGACCACGCCCTGTACCTGCACTTACAAGGAAGGCCGGACGGCTTTGCTGTCCTCCTCGTCACACCGGACCATGTCTTATCGCTCTGAGCACCGTCTGGCGCCCGGCCTTCGGGGGCTGGCACACACGTCGCCGCCCTAGAGACCTGGCTGGGGACAGTGGCAAGGGCTCTGGCTGGTGCACAGAGTCCGCGGGTGGGGGTCAGGCTGGCCGGCGGGCTGGACACTCACCTGGTCTCCAGTCCGAGCACAGAGGCGCCGATCCCTGCTCCGTCACCGCCCGCGGGCCCGCCTTGGCCACAGGCTCTGGAGGCCAGTGCCCCTCCTCGGTGGCCGCCCGGGGCCGCGCCCCACGCCTGTCTGCGCCCCGACACTCCCCCCCCCACTCTCATTCACGCCGCCCTGCCCGCCTCGCCTAATCTGGTCTCGCCTGTGTCCTTGACTCCCCTGGTGCTGGACTGTCTGCCATGCCAGTCCCGGAGGTGGGCGGGGGAGGCACGCAGCGACCTGGGAGCAGGTCCACTGCGCGCCTTCCCCGCGCCCGCCCCGGGCCACAGTGCCACGTGGGAACGGCGCGTCTGCAGGCTGGACTCCCACAGCCTCCTTGCTGCAGAAATCTCTCGGGAGCCCGGACCTGCGGCCGCCGTGCCCTCCAGGTGCTGTCCTGCCGCGGATTCCCGCGCACTGTGCCCTCGTGCTCGCTCTCCTGCCCTCGGGGCTCCAGCACGGGCCTGGGGGCCCGGCCAGAGCGCCTCCTGTGCCTTCTCCTAAGTGAATTGCAGTGGGATGTGGTGGCGGCTGGGGACCCTGCTGTGTTCCGAGTCCCCGTCTTATCCTGACCTGTCCGATCCGGGCCTGGAGTGTTCCCGCAAGTGTTGGATCTCTGCGGGCCCCTGTCCCCTCCCTCACTGGCAGCCCTGCCTCATCTCCTGCCCTGCCCTCTTGAAGTGCTCTTTCCACCTGGGATGAGCCTGTGGCCCCCCAGCCCGCCCGGTCTCGGCTCCCCCCGAGACGGTGTCCCCTGCGCTCGCGCCCTGCCTTCGCCCTGCGGCCCTGCCGGGGGTCCGCCGCTTCTCCTCGCTGTCCTCACTCCCGGAGACTCCTTCTGGCAGAAGGTCCTGGAAGCGAGGCTGCGAGGGGAAGGGCACTCACCTGGCCCGGCAGGTCGCTGTCCTCCTCTGCCCGTGGCTGCCAGCTACTCCACCGCCCAGGCCCGGGGTGAACCCCTCTCTGGCTCCCCCGTGTCCGCCAGCCGCCACGTCCTGAAACCAAAGTTGACCGGGATGAATGTCTGGCTCCCCCCTCGTCCTTCCGCGCCCCTGGCTGGGGCCCGTCCCGCGCCACGCTGCCGCGGCCCTGCCTCCAGGAGCCCACGCCGCGCGCCCACAGCGCTGCCAGGCCCCGGCCAGACCCTCAGCCCTCAGCCTCTCCTGCCAGACTCCAGGTTTCCAAGGTGATCCTTGGCCCAAGCAAACTTCCCCGAACCCCAGTTCCCCATCTTCCCCTGGTTTCCCCGGCACCCCCGCTTCCCTGGTTACCCCTCGGCACCCCCGCTTCCCCAGTTTCCCCCGTTTCCCCTGGGCTTCCCCATCCCACCCCCACCCCCTCCCTCGCCCTGTTCCGAGGCCCTAGCCCGGGCTTTTTCTAACTGGAGTGGCCCCGCCCAGAATTCCCGCCCCTGCTCTGCTGGCCAATCAAAGCAGGGACCGTGCTTGGGGCCACCGCCAGGCCCACCTCCAACTGGGACCGCCCAGCGCACGTACCTCACCCGATCCGAAATTCTCCAAAGACAGCCTCCCCGCACCCTCCTTTGGCTGGCGGCAAACAGGACTTGGCATTGTCCCCAAACGCCCCCCCTCCCTCCGGTGGAAACGAGGCGGGCTCCCTCAGGGCAGACCACGCACGCTGCTCCTCACCCTCCCAGCCCCGGGTGGCCCCCCTGCCCTCGAACGGGGGCCCTGCTGGACCCGGCGGTTCAGGCGGCCCTCGGAGCCGCTTCTGCCGCCTCCGTGTTTAAGGCCCCGCGCCCCCCCCTCGGGCCCTGGGATCCATGGGGAGCAGCCGCGTGGGGAGCGCGGGTGGGGGTCCGGGCTCTGGTCGGACCCAAAGGAGTGCCCAGGGGCCTCAGCGGGCGACCAGCCCCCAGCCCAAGTGCCTCTTGGGCGGTGGCTGTTGCGGCTACAGACGTTTCCACGGGGCAGGCTCCCACTGCGGTGGGGGCTCCCTGGGTCCCCCCACTGCCACACTCCCGTCCTGTGGATGCGGCGCGCCCGCTGTGTCCTGCGGCTCCCGGGAGCGTGTGGTGACTGCGCCCGCAGCGTCCCAGCTCCGTTCCCAACGCCAGCGTATCCGCCTGCCCAGGGCTTTGCCAGTTAGGGAACGGAACAAAAGCTCCTTGGCTGTCCCTTCCCTGCCGGGACCGCTCGTGCGGTGGGGGCCGTGCGACCCTGAGGTCCATGGGGTTTGCCCACCAAGTCTAGGGAGTTGGAGCCGTGCGGATGGCCGTGCCTGGGCAAGGGGCCACAGACTCAGCGGGGCTGAGGGGGCACTTTGGAGGGGGCTTGGGCAGACCCTCTGCTGTGTGGACTCCGCCATGACAGGTGGGGTGATCCCCGACCAACCTCGACACGCAGCCTCTGTCACGGTGGGCCCGCAGCTAACTGCGGACAACGCCCGACTTAGCCACGGCGGGCCTCCGGATCGGGAGGCGGCCGATCCGCACATGTGGCCATAGGCGGACCCCAACTGCGGAGCCTCAGTCGGGGCTGCCACCTCGCGGCCGCTTCTGTCTCCACACCCTCAACGACTTGGCGCCACTCAGAAGAGCGATCGGCTCGGGGGTTGGCGCCCGTAGCAAACGGGCGGACGCTCAGAATCCTCCGACGTTCAACAGGGCAGCCCCTGGACCTTGTGGGAAGGGTCTCCTTCTGAGACCGAGCTCTGCGCCACCCAGGCACAGGGTCCCTCATTGCCTCAAGAATTCCCCCTCGCTCCCCAACAACAACCATGCAGCCTGCTGTGACCCCGATAGGGTGGGCTGGGGTGGCTCAGATGAGCACCCCGTCTCCCTGGGGATGCCCGTGGACCGCCGTGGTATCGGACACGAGTGGACCCGGGACACTGAGCGGGCGAACCAGCGACACGGGGCAGGGCACGGAACAGGCGAACCAGAGACAGGGGGCGGACAGACCCAGGAATCTGCACGGGTGAACCAGGGACACTGGGCGGGAAGTCCCGGGACGTTACGCGGTCATACCCGGGACATTGGCGGGAAGACCCGGGACATTCTGCGGGCGAACACGGAACACAGGGCGGGCAGACCCGGGACAATACGCGGGCGAACCGTTCACAGCCGCGGGCGATAAAATGCGAGTCAGCACTGCCACCTCGCGGCCATCCCGGTCTCCAGAACCACAGCCGACTCGGCAGCACACGGGCAGCGCAGCGGGCTGTGGGTTCCGCCCCTGGCCCAGGGGAGCGACCCCGAAGTGCTCGCGCACTCGTCCAAGCAGCCGCCGGGCTGCCTACCCCGGCGGAAGTTACCTCTCCCGCTCCCGAGTATCACCTGTGCCCTGGCCTGGGGGCCGCCCGGCCGTGATCCTCGGGTGCTGTTGGCATCGCTCTCCCAGGAGCGTGTGGGCTCCAGGGAAGATGGAGTCGCTGCAGTCGGGAGAGGCACCTTCGTGCCCTTTGACCCCACAGCACGGCACGAGTAACGGGACCCCGGCCACGGCCGCTGGTCGTGGCGAGACCCCAACTTTAACAATCCCCCAGGACCCTGGAGTCTCTCATGCGCCCGCACGGGCGGCCACACCCCTGCGCTCAGGGCGCCCTTCTGCTGCCCCAGAGCCCGGAGGAGGTGTCCCGCCCAGGTCCTTAGCATCTCAAACACCTGTGAATGGAGTGCTAATGGCTGGCCTCCGAGGGGCTCCGAGTTTTCCCGGGGAAGCGGGCGCTGGCGAAATAAAGGGCCCGGGTTTGGGGAGTTTGGGGGCCTGTCTTAGGTGGGGCGGTGCGCTGGCTGGATGCGCTGCCCCAGGACTTGGTGACCTACCACTGTTCACTGAACTTGGACAGATGCTGTGAGTTTTACGCCACAGAGCTGACCGCCTCAAGGGCCACCCGTGGCCGTGGGACTGTGGGTATAAGCCGATCTGGGCTGCGGTGGCTCACTAGTTAGTGTCCCATCTCCAGATGACTCTCGTGGGCCACTGCTGTATTAGGCCCGGGTGGGCCGGGGACGTGGGGTAGGAGAACCTCCGCCTTGGCGGCCTCGGGCCATGACGTGCGGGTTGCGGCTGCCACCTTGCGGCCATGGCTGTCTCCACACCGACAACTGATTGGCACCGTTCAGGGCTGGGATGAGCACAGGGGCCAGCACCCGAAGTGTGGGAAGTCCCCTGCACTGCATGGGGCTGCCCCACGACCCGGTGCCACTGGAGGCCCTGAGGGAAGGGTCTCCCTCTGAGACTGAGTTCCGCGTCATCCAGGCCCCAAGTATTTTCCCTCGTCTTCCCAGCATCACTGTGCAGCTTGCGGTGACTCAGGCAAGCACCCCATCTCCTTGATGACCCTTGTGGATGACCATGGGACCAGGCCTGGGCTGACCCTGGATGCTCTGTGGGCGAATCCGAGATGCGGGTCGGGCAGACCCAGAACTTTGCCTGGGCACACCCGGGATACTGGGCGGGAAGAGCCGGGATGTTCCGTGGGTGAACCCCGGACATTGGCGGGGGGAAACCCGAGACAGCGCGCGGGCGAACCCTTGGCCGTCGCGGAAGGTGATGTGTGAGTCGGCACTGCCACCTCGCGGCCATCCCGGTCTCCAGAACCACAGCCGACTCGGCAGCACACGGGCAGCGCAGCGGGCTGTGGGTTCTGCCCCCGGCCCAGGGGAGCGACCCCGAAGTGCTCGCGCACTCGTCCAAGCAGCTGCCGGGCGGTGCTGCTGCAGGTCTCGTGGGTAGGTTACCTCTCCCGCTCCCGAGTATCACCCATGCCCAGGCCAGGGGGCCGCCCGGCCGTGATCCTCGGGTGCTGTTGGCATCGCTCTCCCAGGAGCATGCGGGCTCCAGGGAAGATGGAGTTGCTGCAGTCGGGAAAGGCAGCTCCGTGCCCTCTGACCCCACAGCACGGCACGGGTAACGGGACCTCGGCCACGCACGCTGGTGCGGCAAGACCCCAACTTTAATGATCCCCCAGGATCCTGGTGTAACTACTGTGCCCACGTGGGCGGCCACACCCCTGCGCTCAGGGCGCCCTTCTGCTGCCGCGGAGCCCGGAGGAGGTGTCCCGCCCAGGTCCTTAGCATCTCAAACACCTGTGAATGGAGTGCTAATGGCTGGCCTCCGAGGGGCTCCGAGTCTTCCC